TATCTCTCTCTCTCTCTCTCTCTCTCTCTCTCTCTCTCTCTCGTTCTTTCGTTCTCTCCCTCTCCTTCTCCCTCCCTCCCTCCCTCAATCCCCTTCTTCCTCACTCCTTCCTCATTCTTTCCCCCCTTCCTCATCCCTCCTCCTACCCACTCATCCTTTCCTCATAATCAGCACCAAGCTCATCTATATATAGCCTATGTCTCTCCCGGTTAACTAATGTTCTCCATCTCGCATCCTCGCTGTCGTAAAAAAGTCCGAGGCAGAGTGTTCAGATTAGGTTGGGGGGGAGGGGGAAGGGGTGGGGGGAGGGAGGGAGGGAAGGGGGATGGAGAACGGGGAGGGGGAAGGGGTGGGGGGGAGGGAGGGAGGGAAGGGGGATGGAGAAGGGGGGGGTGAAGAGGGGTTGGGGAGGGAAGTGTGGATGTGGTGGGGAGGGAAGTGTGGAAGAGGGGTTGGGGAGGAAGGGTAGAAGAGGGGAGAGGAAAAGGGGGTATTGAGGGGAGGGGGCCAGGATTGAGATGGAAGGGAAGGAGAGAGAGAGAGAGAGAGAGAGAAGGAGAGAGAGAGAGAGAGAGAGAGAGAGATAGACAGAGAGAGAACCAATAAATAAACAAGTAAAGAAAGAAAGGAAGCATGGCCGATAGACATATATAGAGAGAAAATGCGGCACAGGTAGAGGGAGATAAGAGAGCAAGAGGGACGCCGCTGTACCTGCCCCGATAACAGGTAATGTGCTCGTAGATAGGACACTCCCGACGGCGCTGAAGGAGGTGGTGTGTGAATGAGAGTGATGGATAAGGTGAGGGAGGAGGAGAAAGGGGAAGAACGAGAGGAGACGAGAGGGAGGAGAGAGGGGAAGAATGAGAGAAAGAATGAAAGAAGGGAGAAGGAGAGAGGGGAGAAGGGAAGGGAGGAAAGGAAGGTGGGGTGACGGAAAGAGAGAAGGGCGAAGGTAAGAAGGAAGGGAGAGAGAGCGAGATGGTGGATAGAAGGAAAGAGAGGAAGGGGGAACAGTAATAGGGAAAAGAAGAGAGAAAGGAAAAAGTGAGATATAGAGGAGAAGAGAGAGGGAACAGAGAAAATGAGGAGAAAAGGAAAAGGAAGACTAATGTATATGCGATTAGGGCTCGGGCACTAATCCCCCCTCCCTCCTCGTACCCTTCCACCCCCTCCTTCTACCCCACCTCCCTCTCCTCAATCATGCCCCCATCTTCCCCACCTTCCCTCTTCTTCTTTCCCTTCCAATCTAAACGAAAATAAGAAAAAAAATTAAGGTTTTGTAAGCATCATTTCTATCCACGTGATTTATTGTTCCCTTTTCTAGTGTCTAAGTACTGTTGGCTATTCTTTGTCCCTAATTACTCCTTAGTATCATCAGTGATAGAGTACGATAGCTTGTTATTATCCTTGTTGTCGTTATCAAGACCATCATGAAAATTATAATGATGATACTATAAGAATTATAAGAATAATAGAAGTAATGATGATAATAGTAACAATAACAATAATTATCATCACCATCATTATCCTTATTATTATCATCGACATCATCATCGTCAACGTCATCGTCATCATCATCATCACCACCATTACCAATATTATCATCATTACCTCCCCCATGATCTTTATCACCATCACCATCATCATCATCATCAACTTCACTATCACCATAAACATTATTATCACATCATTATCATCACCAACATTACCGAATTTTTTACCATCACCAGTATTACCATCATCACTACCATTACTATAATCATCATTACCACCATCACCATTACCATCACCATTACCATCACCATTACTATCATCAGCACCATTACCACCACCATTCCCACCATTCCCATCACCACCACCATTTCCACCATTATTCTCCGAACACCGCGATTTCCATTAATTCCATGATTACCAACCTCGACTGCATTTCCCTCCGTGTTCCCAGCAGCCCGCCACATGCAGATAGAACCCCGCAGTCATTTCCTTTTGGGAAATACTTCAGAATTTCTCGCAGGTGTTGGCTGGTGCCTTGGGAGGGAGGGGGGGGGAGGGGGGGAAAGGTGGGGGAGGGAGGGTTGAGGGGAGGAGGAGAGGGAGGGGAGGGGAGGAGGAGAGGGATGGGAAGGGAGTGGAGAGGTGGGGAGGGGGGGGAAAGGGGATGGGAGGGTAGGGGATAGATGAGGAAGGAAAGGGGAGGGGAAGGGGGGGGCTGTGGGGGGAGGCCGAAATCATAGTCGGGAGAATAGGCAAGCAAGCAAGCACGCAGGCATATAAGCAGCTGGTGGATGAGAGGAAAAGAGAGACAGGCAGACAGACAGACACAAAGGGAGAAGGATAAAGAAAGTGAGAATGAGAGAGTGGGGGATAGGCAGAAAGAAAGAGACAGAAAGACAGAAAGAGAAATAGACAGAAAGAGAGAGACAGGAAGAGAGAGAGAGAGAGAGAGAGAGAGAGAGAGAGAGAGAGAGAGAGAGAGAGAGAGAGAGAGAGAGAGAGAGAGAGCAGGCAAGCATCTGAAAGTATATTAGCAAGCAAGCACGCAGGCACGGAGGTTGGCTCTTTTGGTGGGCTTGGGTTTATTTGGTTAGACAGGTTAAGTAGGAAGCAAGCTTGAGGGGGGGAGGGGGAAAGGGAGGGGGAGGGGGAGAATGATGAATTGACTGGACATTCTTCTCTTCTTTCATTTCTTATTCGTGCTTTGGGAGCTGACGTTTATTTTTGTTTTTTTTCTCTATCATGTTTCTTCTCACTCTTTTTTTCTGCCTCTACCTCCTCCGCATATAAGAACAACCGAAGAAACTATTAAAAAAAAAATGAAAGGAAATCCACCCTCGCAGCTTATCATTATAGATGACGAAACCCCGTCCACGGCGCGCCGGAGATAAACAAAACACGATCGCAGTCCGAGCCGCTGACCCCATTTTGGCGAGGGAGAGGAGTACCAGATCCTCTCCCGGGCTAATGAGAAGCATCCAGCCCGGGCCAGATGAGACCCCTGAGGATAATTATTCTCGTCTGGAGAGAGAAAAAAATGAGGAAATTTATATATTTCCCGGATAAGCTCAGCGTGTTTCTTATATCGCATAAATATGCATGAATACGTGTAAATAGCATACGTGCATACATATATGTACATGTGTGTGTGTAGATAAATATGTGTGTGTGTGTGTGTGTGTGAGAGAGAGACAGAGAGAGAGAGAGACAGAGAGAGAGAGAGACAGAGAGAGAGAGAGACAGAGAGAGAGAGATAGAGAGACAGAGAGAGAGAGAGAGAGACAGAGAGAGAGAGAGAGAGACAGAGAGAGAGAGAGACAGAGACAGAGACAGACAGAGACAGACAAAGAGAATCATTCTCCCCATCAAAGTAAACACACAACGAACACAAAACAATTACCAGGTCCACCGCCGGGAAAAAATCAACTCCTCAGCATGAACAGATCGGGATTAATTGATACACGGATTAATTAACATTTTTCCCTTCTTTTTGTCGTATTTTTCGTGATTCAAGGACTTAAATGGAATGGAGGCCACATATGTTATGGACCGAGGATTGATTAAGCAGCGAAAAAGAAAAGAAAAAACTATTTCTTTGTCTATATGAATTTCCATAGATAAATGGAAAAGAGAGAGAAAGAAAATGATCGGTAAATATATGTGAATATCTTGTGAGTGTATGTTTCTGTGCGTTTGCGTGTGTGTAAGCGCATAATTTTGTATGCACGGTGTGTGCGCTATACAAATACAAATACTAAACGTATATTCATATATATGTATCTATAATTGTGCATACATGCCCAACCCTACCAACAACGCCTCCTTACGAGTATTATCTCCCTCGATCTACAACCCCCCCCCCCCCCTTCCTCTCCTTCAACCAGCCTTCAGAAAACGTAGAATTAGAAAACGGGAATCATGATTCACGAGAGAAAGAAAACGCATCCCCAGGAAAAAAAAATCAGGTCAAACTTTTTTTCTTTCTTTCTTTCTTGTTTTCTTCCTCTTTTGGTCGAATTACGCCCGGAGATTTAAAGACCTTCTACTACCCGAAGGGAAGACCCGATATCCGATCGCGAGAAAATCAAATTATTCTTCAATAAAGAGCGAATCGTCTTCCCTGCGAGTGAATTCCAACCACTTAAACGGCTATTGGACGCTATTTCGGAGCCGACGGTTAAGAAATGGGGCCTCCTGCCTCCTCAATTGCCTTGTTTGTCTTCTCGGGAAATCCGCTTTACAAAATGATATTAACGCGATTATAATGAGTGACGGATTAACGGTGATGATAACAACTGGCGACAGTAAAGAGGAGGAAGATGATAGTGTTGTTGATAGTGAAGGATACTATCAGCAAAAGAATGGTGTTGTATATAATGGTAAGGGTGATAAAAGATAACGATATTAGTAAAAAGGATAATAGTATGGTAAGAACACTAATAATTATGCGAATGAGAATGCCACCCTCGGTTTTGGACATGCAAAAGTCTACGGTCAATGCAACCCATATTATACTAACATCAGGACATAATTGTTGTTTCCGAATTAAGCTGGTCTCTGGAAATAACGTTAAGAAAAGCCAAGAAATTCGATTAAAAGTGTGTACCAGTTTCTAGTGAAGTTAACTATTGGGTTATTTCGAAAAAGATAGAGAGTAGTGGAGCTTGGTTTCATTTTAAAATTCTTTATCCTGAGTTTGTTTTCTTAATCGTATTTTTTATGTGTAAAAAAAAATAAATGATGTTTCTACGTCTCTATAATTACTTGTTTATTTAGCATTGCGTATTTATTTTGTATACTGAGGTGCTAAGCTGTTTATATTACCTATTTATCCATCTATCTATCCATTTGTCTATTTCTCTCTCACTCTCTCTCTCTCTCTCTCTCTCTCTCTCTCTCTCTCTCTCTCTCTCTTCCAATCTGTGACTATTTATCCTCTTATCCATAAAACCATCTCTCTGTCTTTGATTTATCAGCCTATTAACTATCCCTTTTCCTCCCGGCAGATAGTGTCCCAGTCAACGAAGATCGCGGCCACCTCCTGCGCGTCTCCAGATCCTGCCAACACCGTCATCACCACCACCACCAAGCCTGACGTTGTTGTCAGCTCCTCGCTCCACCACCACAGTCTGACTCTGTTGTTGTTGTTGTTGTTGTCAGCTCCACCTCCACCACCGCCGTCAGCCAGTCTGCGCTAGCCACAAGTGTGTCAGCCTCGCATGGTTCGAGTGTGCCGCGGCGCGACTATCCTCCTCCTCCTCCTCCTCCTCCTCCATCCTCATCCTTTTCCTCCTCCTTCCTCCTCCTTTTCTTCCTTTTCCTTCCTCACTTCTCCCCGTCGAGCGTGATCCTGGCTGTCACGACCTTCGACTCTCCAGTACACACAAACAACTCACTGAAGGCAGCTTTAGTGACTTATTGTTGCCAAAATGCAAGCTCTGAATTCGCCTACGTTTCACAGTGTGTTGCCAATTTATAACGTATACACATGACGTAATCGACCAGATGTGCCAACTACGAGCTTTACCTCCGCGGCGACAGAGAGCCGTCTCAGAAACCGGGGATCAGTGCTGCCAACTGCAAAAAGAAAAACTGAAAAGTGACCCAGTGCTGCCATCTTTTAGAAATAACCTTGCTACCCTGTTTCGCCCCCCCCCCCCCAACCCCTACGTCCTACCTCCCACCCTTCCTTTCCCCTCCGATTTACAAAGAGGACCAGTGACTGTCTGACTCAAGGACTCTACACAAAAGCCTTACAATGTTTATAGTCAGATCATGCTCCTCAGCCCGTCACGCCAACGACAAAGAAAACGAGACAAACGGATCTTCACGCTAGTCCATAGCTAGTCAGAGTGACCGGCTGCGGCATCTAACTAGTCTTAGATGCTAGTCCTAAAAAGGATATATATATATATATATATATATATATATATATATATATATATATATATATATATATATATACATACATACATACTAGCAATACATCAGCAAAGTCATTTTTCCACGAGAAGAACACTACGGTAGTTTAGCTGGCTGTACACTTCCATAGCCAGAGACCCAACTACACACTCCATTCATCTTCCATTCTCCCATTCAAGAGTCTGCGGAACTACACACAGTCAGTCAGTCAGTCCACACGCCCTCAAGACCCGTGCTCAAAGCAAGGACGCCGGGCTCCTGTGCACGCCTCTCACCCAAGGCAAGACACAAAAAAAAGAAAGAGAGAGGATGATAAAGAGGAAGAACGATACGATAAAAAAGGATAATGGAAAAAAGAGAGAAAAAAGAAACATGGATAGATTAATACAAGTGATCCAGGTATTTTATCAGTCAGCAGTGAAACACGTGGCGGCTTTTTTTTTCTCCCAGTGTAACAGTGAACGTGAATTCGATTATTGTCTCAAAGATGTAGCGGCAGCGAAAGCCTTTTTTCCCCTGCCGTAACCCTGCAGTGACAGTCACATCAACCTAAGGTCGCCTGTGTTGTCTTGCCCGGTCAAGAGGAGCGTCTTAGCTGCCTTGAAGGAGGTAGAGAGAAGACTGTGTGAAAACGTGCGTGAAAGTGCAAGAAATGAGTGACATAAATGTATAAAAATACTGTATATGTATTTGTATTGTTTGAACATGAGCAAAAACTGAATATACAGTTGTTTGTTAAAAATGTGGCAGAACGCTATGATATTTTTTTCCTAGAACTTAAGTATACACATTAAGCTCTAAAAGAAAGAAATAAAATGATATCAATTCAATCCAAGGAAGATGTGAGCGAGGAAATTTTTACCGTGTTTTCAAAAAAAAAAACGAAGGAGAAAAACACAAACATTGGTTCAAAAGATATACACAAAAGTGGTGAACGGAAAAAAGAAGAAAATGCATATACTGGCGACAGACAGACACGCGCGAATGATGCAAAGTGTGTTAGTGGAGCCCCCTTCCCCCTCCTCCCTTCTCCTCCCCCCCCTCCCCGCAGAAGGTGGCGAGGAGCCGGTTTTGGCTGGATTCGAAGGAGGGTCAAGAGGAAGACGTCTGCGGTTATCCGGAAATCTGCGGTTAACCGGATTTTCAGCGGTTACCTGGAGGTCTGCGGTCACCAAAGGCGCTTCGCCGAGAACTCAGCTACATTAGCTGGGTTTCGTATTTCACATCCCCCGTTATAGTGTCTCGAGGCTTACTAACGGGACTCTATTGTTTTCGGGTTCTTAATATACATAAAAAAGTCTTTTCTTGTTCCCAGTTTCTCATATTTTCGTGAATCGTATATGTACAGAATGGTTTTCTGGCTCCTAGAATTATTATCAACCCCCCCATGCCCCCCCACCCCTCCTCCCTACATCTACCCTCCCCATCCCCCATCCTACACCCCCCCCTCCCCCGTCCTCTCCCGCACCCAAAAATACGATAATGTCCTTTAATCATAAAAAAAAGGTTTGAGCTTGATAACGAAAGCTTATTACATCTCCCACATTTGTAAATATTTATCCTCTTTCTTGTTTTTTATTTTATTTTTTGATTTTCATTCTAGATCTTGATGATTCGTCATTCGGTGTGGCATTATATGACAGATTTTTGAACTTGTGGAATAAAAGTAGAATTCTTTTTCCGAAATAATACCATTTTTACTTTACGCATTTTTAGAAGAAAGAAAGAAAAAAAGTATATAATAATAATAAGATAGATTTCTCTATTATTCTGAAGAACTGTTTTCCAAAAGATAAAAAGTTATACTACTCATAATTGGTCAGCTGATGAAGAAAATAAAAATGATTTCTAAAAAAAAAAATCATAATAAAAGAATAACAGATTCTTGTTCTTTAGGAAGCGTAGAATTTAGCGCCATTAGAGAAACCCAGCAGGAGCCGCTGGGTTATAATGTATTTTCTGCTGCTCAATATACGGCAGGGTTGGCAGCCGCTGACACCCACTGACAACGTCCCGGTGAAGCTTGTTTTGAGTTGTTTGTGTATGTGAAAAAAAGAGATAAAAAAAACGGCTTCACCTGCGCGTAGTCTGCGAGGTCTGCGCCAGGCTGATCCCTGTCATATTCTTGCAACCAGGTTAGGCGTCGTATAGGCCGTTAGACTGAAGCTTTTGAAGAAAAATAAAATAACATAAATAAAATAAAATTGTAGGTTTTTTGAGGGTAGGTTGGTTCTGATGCCAAATTACTTAAGGTTTATTTCACGGTTGTTAACTAATGTAATTTTAGGACTTGAGAACTCTGCCATTTTTTCCATTTGCCCTGCACCGATTCTATTCATCATTGAGTTTGTAGTTTAGTGGGATAAGCATTCACAAAAAAACATAGGTTGCTAAATTGCTTCTATTACTGCTAGCATTTAGTAGGTTGGGGATTGGAGAGCTGTGTTACTTTTGTACGTTTTAATATAATTCGCTGTGTATACGCATAGAATTCTGTTTGAAAAGGCTAGTCACCTTGCGAGGTCACCCTGCAGGGCGATCTTGCAGAGGGGACTAGCCTTTCTTGCAAGTTTGGCTTGCAAGGACTACCCGTCTTGCATGGTGATCCCACAAAGAAAGCAATAAATACCTTTTGTAGAGAGTTCTTCAATAACATAACATCTATGCACTGCCACCTCTGTAAATGCACCTTAATGATAATACTACCATTAATATGACTGTTTGAGCCCAAGATCTGTAAGATAAATTCCCTTCTCCTCTCGTGCATTGACCGTCTCGGTACGGATTACTACTGGTACTATATTAAAAAGGAAAACTTTTTTCTCTCCCTTTTTTTCTCTCTATCTCTCTTTTTTTACTGTTGTTACCTTGTCGACGAGGAGTAGCGTCGGTTGGAGATCCCGCCCCCCTTTGAGGATGGTGGGCGGAAGGGACTAGATAACTTCCCGCGCCCACCGCCCACCCACCCACCACCTTCCCTCCATCCCTCCCACCCACTCCCCACCTACATACAAGGGCCTTTCTCCCACCCCTCCCCTCCCCTCCCCCTCTGCTCCCACCCTCCCGTTGGCCACAAGGTTTGAGGTGTAGTTGATACCTGTTATAACGTGATAGTGGAGAGAAGACATATTTTGTGTGTGGTGTGTTTGTGTGCGTGTTTTTTTGTGTGTTTGTGCATCGCGTTTCATGGTTGTGGGCGGGGTTTAGCAGGCAGGGGCGGGGCCTCCACACCCTCGCGGCCAAAAAACTGTTACAGCTAATTACACTATTTTCATGACATGCATTTCTAAAGACGACAATACTATCGCCCGCGGCACCAGCCACTACCACATGCAGTCTGCGTTTGTGGACACGTGCGTGCATTTGCGTGAGTGTGTGCATGTGTCTGTGTGTGCATTTGAGAGAGTGCGTGTGTGAATCTATGTGTGTACGTGCGCGCGTGAGTGCGTTCATGTGCACATGAATGTCTGCTTATGAATGTGTTAAGATAGATCTAAAAATTGAAGTGTAAATATGCAAACATTCATAATGAAGATTCACACAACACATTTTACGTGTGCACTTGGACACACAAACCGACTCTTCTTTTTCTTTTCTAAATACTTCATAGACGCATTCAATATTAACAGTAATAATAAAACTCCATTGGGACTTTGGCTGGTGACGCAACCAGCTTCTTGAGGCGATAGTTTTCACCGTCTTACTCGTTGTGCCTTTCTGTTGACTCCACCACCACACTGTAATCACACACTATAGGTAGGCACTTGTTTACATTCGACGGGCAGGCATGGGTGCACGCTCTCGCCCGGGCCTCTCACACTGCGCTTCCTTCCGCCTGACACTCGCTCTCTCTGCCCTGGTTAAGTCTGTCTGTCTGCGTTTTTCGTTTTTCTTGTACTGTCTTTTCCCACTTTCCCTTTCTCTTTTCTTTCCTTCTCTTCTCCTCTCTTCTTGTATTGTCTCTTAAATTATCTTCTTTTCTCTTCTTGTTTTGTCTCTTCAATTTTCTTCTCTTCTTTTTTCTTCTCCTCTCTTCTCTTTTCTTCTCTGCTCTTCTCTTCTCTTGTCTTGTCTTCTTTTCTTTTTTATATCTATTTATCTCTCTCTCTCTCTCTCTCTCTCTCTCTCTCTCTCTCTCATCGTATGGGGGTTCGTTGCGGCTTAGTGACGTCACATCAACATCCAGAACAGCCATTTATCGTGACGTCAAAATTTACATCCGGGATTGCAGGCTTCACCTCCTCACTAGGGTCATAATCACAATAATAGGACTCAGGCAACATAAAAAGAATTCTTTTGTGTGTGTCATTCTGGAAAAA